CTGTAATCTCAGCTACTCGGGAGGCTGAGGCAGGAGAATCGCTTGAACATGGGAGGTGGAGGTTGCAGTGAGCCAAGATTGTGCCATTGCACTCCAGCCTGGGCAACAAGAGCGAAACTCTGTCTCAAAAAAAAAAAAAAAGTTTCCTTCTTTCTCTTTCTCTGTTTCTTTTTGTAGAGAGAGGGTCTCACTATGTTGGCCAGGCTGTTTTCTAACTCCCAGCCTTCAAGAGATCCTCCTGCCTTGGCCTCCCAAAGTGCTGGGATTTCAGGCGTGAGCCACTCCACCTGGTCTCTCTCTTCACGGCATGTCCTGAGGCATGTGTACATCACCTCCTGGGGCACAACATGCCAAATTTGGCCTGAGGAAACATGGGTGCCAGGCTGTGTAGGGAGTTCAGCTGCAGGGGCAAGGAAGACCCTCGAGGGCCAGCAGAGCGCATGCACACCGGTGTGATGCTCTGTGTCTGCAGACCGCTGGTGTATCAGTCAGTCACCCCATGCCTAGGAGGCCCTGCCCATCTCTCCGACCACCTGCCCCTGAATCACACTGCTCCAGCTGCCACGGGGTCCTCCCTGCTGCTTCTCCTACAAGCTAAGCAGGATCCAGTCTCTGGGCCTTTGTATTTTGCTGCTTCCTCCACTCCATGGCCACATAGGCTTCTCCTTACCCTTCCTGTCTGAACAGAAAGTTTTTCTTCCTTTGTGGGAGAGCTAAGTACCAGGTAGGACTTCATATGAAAAACAGACCTTGAGCAATCAGCCCCTCCACTCTGAGGCTCAGTTTGCTTAACTGCAAATATGGATAATAAGAAATGCACCAGGCCGGGTGCAGTGGCTCACATCTGTAATCTCAGCACTTTTTTTTTCTTTGGCACAGTTTCGCTCTTGTTGCCCAGGCTGGAGTACAATGGCTCACCACAACCTCTGCCTCCAAGGTTCAAGAGATTCTCCTGCCTCAGCTTCCCAAGTACGTGGGATTACAGGCATACACCACTATGCTCGTCTAATTTTGTATTTTTAGTAGAGACAGGGTTTCACCGTGTTGGTCAGGCTGGTCTCAAACTCCCGACCTCAGGTGATCTGCCTGCCTTGGCCCCCCAAAATGCTGGGATTACAGGTGTGAGCCACTGTGCCCGGCTAATCCCAGCACTTTGAGAGGTTAAGGAGGGTGGATCATTTAAGGTCAGGAGTTCAATACGAGCCTGGCCAATATGATGAAACCCTGTCTCTACTAAAAATACAAAAATTAGCCGGGCGGGGTGGTGGGCACCTGTAGTCCCAGGTACTTGGGAGGCTGAGACAGGAGAATTGCTTGAACCCAGGAGGCGGAGGTTGCAATGAACAGAGATGGCACCATTGCACTCCAGCCTGGGTGACAGAGCAAGACTCTGTCTCAAAAACAAACAAAACGAAATAAAGAAATGCACTTGAACTCACCTTTCAGGGCTGCCCTGAACTTTAAAAGCAGACAGATGCCAAGAGCCTTTACAGGTATTGATCGACTTACGACCTATGCAACTTACGACCATTCGACTTTACGACCACAATCGCTAGCCACGACTGCTCCACGTCTGGCAGCGCAAACGTTGCCCAGCTGGGCGTACAACAGTGTGGACCAGCTTCTGGCAGCACTACCATCTCCGCGTGCATATAGCCTACTCAACTTATGACCAAAATCGTGTTATTACCGGTCTGTCGGACCCAATCGTGGTTGTAAGTCGAGCACTAGCTGTAAATGTAAAAGAATCAGCAGGCAGAAAGCACTTAAGAACTAGGCACTGTTGCTGGGCGTGGTGGTTCATGCCTGTATTCCCAGCACTCTGGGAGGCCAAGGCGGGTGGATCGCCTAAGGTCAGGAGTTCAAGAATAACCTGGCCAACATGTCGAAACCCCGACTCTACTGAAAATACAAAAAAATTAGCTGGGCATGGTGGCGTGCACCTGTAGACCTAGCTACTCAGAAGGCTGAGGCACCAGAATTGCTTGTACTCGGGAGCTGGAGGTTGAAGTGAGCCCAGATTGCGCCACTGTACTCCAGCCTGGGCAACAGAGCAAGACTCTGTCTTAGAAAGAAGAAAAAGAAAAAAAAGAAGTAGGTGTTGTTATTAGAATAATTGCATTCTGACCAGGTGCGGTGGCTGACGTCGGTAATCCCAGTACTTTGTGGGGTGCCCAGGTGGTAGATCACCTGAGGTCAGGAGTTCGAGACCAGCCTTGCCAACATGGCAAGACCCCCATCTCTACTAAAAATACAAAACTTAGCTGGATGTGCCTGTGGTCCCAGTCACTTGGGAGGCTGAGGCAGGAGAGAATTGCTTGAACCCGGGAGGCAGAGGTTGCAGTGAACCAAGATCACACCACTGCACTCCAGCCTGGGTGATGGGGTGAGATTCTGTCTCAAATTAAAAAAAAAAAAAAAAGCATTCTGCATCTTTCCTGAGTCTTCCTCCAAAAGGAGTCCTGGGGTCACCCCAACTCTACTTCCTACAGGTCTGGGACCTTAGATTAAGGCTTCCCTGCTCTGGGCCTCAGTCTTCTCACCTGAAAAATTGAGGTAATAACCACTTCTTCCCTAACAAGTGAGAGTCAGAGGAGGGAAAGACTCAGAACTATGCCTCATCTATAATGACCCTGAGTCAGTGTGGATATTGTCACCATTTTTTTTTAATTGTTTGCTTTAGAGACAGTCTCGCTCTGTCACCCAGGCTGGAGAGCAGAGGTACGATCATAGCTTACTGCAGCCTGGAACTCCTGAATTCAAGGGATCCTCCCACCTTAGCCTCCTGAGTAGCTGTGATGACAGGTGCATGCCACCACGCCCAGCTTATTTATTTATTTTTGTAAAGAAAGGGTCTCACTATGTTGCCCAGGCTGGTCTCAAACTCCTAGGCTCAACTGATTCTCCCACCTCAGCCTCTGAAAATGCTGGGATTACAGGCATCAGTCACCAGGCCTGGCCCATGCTGTGCTCTCTACACTCACTAAAAACTAATAGTGGCAAGGGGCAGTGGTGCATGCCTATAGTCCCAGCTGCTGGGGAGGCTGAGACAGGAGGACTGCCTTAGCCCAGGAGGTTGAGGCTGGAGTGAGCCGTGATTATGCCACTGCACTCCAATCTCAGCAACAGAGCAAGACCCCATCTTAAAAAAAAGAAAGAAAGAAAGAAAGAAAGAAAGAAAGAAAGAAAGAAAGAAAGAAAGAAAAGAAAGAGGCCAGCGTGGTCTTTGGACTGGTAAATGCAAAGTAAGTGGAAATTGTTCTTATGTCTACTTTGCCTATAATCCCAGCTACTCAAGAGGCTGAAGGAGGAGAATTGATTGAACCAGGGAGGCAGAGGTTATGGTGAGCCAAGATTGTGCAATTGCACTCCAGCCTGGGCAACAAGAGCAAAACTCCATCTCAAAAAAAAAAAAAAAAAACAAAAAATTAGCTGGGCCTGGTGGCATGTACCTATAGTCCCAGCTACTCGGGAGGCTGAGGCAGCAGAATCGATTGAACCTGGGAGGTGGAGGTTGCAGTGAGCCAAGATCGCACCATTGCACTCCAGCCCGGGTGACAACAGTGAGATTCTGTCTCAAAAAAAATAATAATTTCTTTTTGCTACCTGCTCTTCACTTGAAGACTGAGACTTTGCTTCTTCCCATGGGCTTCAGAACAAATCCCTAAAAACAAGTCAGTGTTATTTTCAATATTTTGTAGAGACAAGGTCTTGCTATGTTGCCTAGGCTGGCCTGGAACTCCTGGGCTCAAGTGATCCCCCCACTTCGGCCTCCCAAAGTACTGGGATTACAGTTCATGAGCTACCTTACCAAGCCTCATTTCTTTTTGGCACTGAATAATATCTCATTATCTTGAAGCACCACTGTTTATTCATTCAGCTATTGAGTGACACCTTTTCTACTTGCAAGTTTTGGCAATTATGTCACTGATTGCCTTTCACATCACTGTGACTGAGGCCTTTCAGAAACGTAACTGACAGGTCAATTTTGTCCAGCCAGGGCTCCTTTTATTCATTCAGGGGTGGGTTTTTTAAACGAATGCAACTTTTATAGAAAGTCGAGGGTGCCAGGAAAGTGAGCCTGCCAGGTGCAGGGAAGTGCAAGAAGCTTGCTGGAACATTCCAGCTCTAAGGGTGCCCTTGATACACTGGCCACAGCTGCTGGCCCAGAAGGTGCCACGTGGACCTCAGCATGAGATCAGGGTGCCTGCTCCATCCAGAGCTCAGGACCGTGTACCTGTCCTTGACACGAACAACAGTGTGCAAAAAAAAAAAAAAAACCTGAAAATATCATCACACAGGATCACAGACTCGGCTCTGCGTGGTGTCTCTTGGCCTAAGAAGCATTCAGGCTGTGCAGGAAGTGTTGGGCAGTTTCCATCCTTCCACAGGACAGGGCATTGCCAGCTACCTCTGGGGTCTCTGCTGCAAGGCCTGGGGAGCCCAGCCTTCACACTGGTGTCTCCTCGGCCACCTTCTTCAGGAGTCCAGCCACCAGCGGAGAATGCTGGGGGCCCTCAGGGCCGTCGGCCTCCTGGATCTTCAGGCGTACTTTCTGGTTCGTCTTTCTCCACTCGGAGTACAGCTGGCAATGGTAGCGGAAGGAGACCTGCGGGGCAGTCCTGCAGTGAGCCGGAGCGGTGAGAAGGCCTCTACCCCCAAGGGAGGAAATCAAGTCCCTATGGCACCTGTGTTGCCCAAACCAGGGCTGGGGCTCATGCTTCCAGGAGCAGAGAGGGCTTATGAACATTCCTCCTACAAAGGGCACACACAGTCCGGCTGCAGTGGCTCATGCCTGTAATCCCAACACTTTGGGAGGCTGAAGTTGGGGGCAAGGGGATCACTTGAGCCCATGAGTTCAAGGCCAGCCTAGGCAACGCATTAAGATCATGTCTCTACAAAATATTTAAAAATTAGCCAGGTGTGGTGGGTGGCCCAGGCCTGTGGTCCTAGTTACTCAGAAGGCTGAGGGAGGAGAATCATTTCAGCCCAGGAGGTTGAGGGTGCAGTGAGGTGTGCTCACGCCACTGTACTCCAACAGAGTGAGATCCTGTCTCAGAAAAAAAAAAAAAAAAGGCTGGCTGTGGTGGCTCACACCTGTAATCCCAGCACTTTGGGAGGACGAGGCAGGTGGGTCACCTGAAGCCAAGAGTTTGAGACCAATCTGGCCAACATGGTGAGGAAACCCTCCCTGTCTCTACTAAAAATACAAAAATTAGGGCCAGACGCAGTGGCTCATGCCTGCAATCCCAGCACTTTGGGAGGCCAAGGTGGGCAGATCACAAGGTGAAAAGGTCGAGATCATCCTGGCCAACATGGTGAAACCCCATCTGTACTAAAAATACAAAAATTAGATGGGCGTGGTGATGAGGCAAAAGAATCGCTTGAACCTGGGAGGCAGAGGTTGCAGTGAACTGAGATCACTCCACTGCATTCCAGCCTGGGAGACAGAGCGAGACTCCATCACAAA